TTCCAGATGATGAGCACCTGTGAAAACCAGGTAAAGCAGAAAGGTCAGCTACACAGAGGACTGCTCCTACTGCATCTCTCTATTTAAGACTGCTCAGAGGAAGGAGGAGGCATAAGTGAGTCTGTAACAGCTGTCACAGCAGTTGTTACTGCCAGCCAAATCCTGTGAACGCTTTCCATTCCCATTCCCTGAGCGGCTCCAAGATCAAGACCAAGCCACGAGCAAGAGCATCTCTTGAGTACTGAACACCAGCTTCAGGAATGTTCTCAGTGGGGGAGGAAGGAGTGAGAAAATAGCAGCAGAGTCACACACAACCCGCAAAAACCCTAAAATTGATATGACGTAGAGAAGCTCTTCTGATGAATAGCTGGATGAAATAAGCTAATTTGCAATGGAGGTGGGATTTTTTTTAATCAGGCAAAGACATGTGCATATGGAAATGGGAGGATGTCATTAATGTTATTTCGGAAAAAGTATTTTCAGTGAAATATTAACATCGCTGTTCTCACTTAGGAAATTATACCGTAAAATGACCGGATTTTTTTTTATAATATTGCTTCATGTGTTGGAGAGGTGAAAGCCTGGTAACTATCCTCATTATTCAACCCTATTTTTTTGTAAGGTGGCCAGCCATGCCATCATTAATATCACATGAGGATTCGTGTCTTTTTATCCTAAAATGAATGCAAATTAGACATCACACCTAATACTTTAAAGCCATGCTGAAATACAAGGAAGTCTATTATCTTTATACCATATATTTTAGGATTTTTTTTTCTCCCCACTTCAGCAGAAGACTGGCAGTTTATAACACAGCAGTGTGACTGCCTCATTTGCACATTTACAGTACTTGATAAGGGGTTGAAACGCTTGATTCCCCAGAGGTCCTCCTTGTTCTTTTCCCAAAATGTCTCCCTATATTTCAATACAGCTGTGACAAATTTTTCTAAATAACAGATAGCTAGCCTTTAGATAATGCCTTTCATGCAGAAGAACATAAAACCACTTCACAGGGCTCATGCAAATAATTTCACTAGATGCCAGTCAGCACAGAGCACAGACTGGAATCAGAAGCAGAGCAATCCATTCCATATAGCACCTATTGCTCATGGTCCTGGGACCAGAGCGGTCCTTAAGTATCATTTTTTTGTCTCAAATGCATTCTAAATTACAGTAAAAAAAAATCAAGACAGAATTGTTGAAACCCTTTGAAGTTTCTCTAAGCCATACTGGACAGACATTCAAAAGCATTCAAATATACAGCCAAAATTCCATATTCCTTTTGCTAAGGAAGTGAGGTAACACCTTTGACCAGCAAATCATACTGACTTTTTTTTTCAATGCCAATAGCATCGTCTAAATCCTGGCTTCTAATTGCAGCCGTATCACCTATTTGCCTTTATGGCATTACTGTCCATTGTGCTAGAGCATATTTGCTAAAAAATTCTTTAAGAATAATGAAAATAAACCAAACTCCTTCAAGCACTAGCATTGGGGTATTTTTTAAAGAACAGATTTGATTGCAAGGGAAAGGGAACTTTAAATTCCTCCACCCCTTCTTTTATTTACCTTGATATGATATTAAAAGACAGTTTGGGTCAATATAACTACTGTAGAACAGCAGAATTTTTTAAAAGATACTTAAGTGTTTGTACTTACTGATTTTACCTTTCAGGTGCATTGTAGCACTCCAAGGTAATCAGTTAAATCCAAATCACAGATGCAGAGATAACTGCTAAGACAGTCTCTCCCTTTATTTGTACACTATGCATACAATATCATAGGTTAATCCTTCCAAAACAAGGAAAAATGTATTTCTGCAATAACATTTTAGAACATAACCACGTGAGTCAGTGACCCCACAGAAGAGCTTCTTTGCACTTGATGGCAGGTTTATAGACACGTTGTAAACGTCAGACTACACCATTTTTAATAATAAAAAAAGGCAGTATAATACTGTTTCCTTGTAACTGAGACAGAAAATCATTTGGTAAGAGTAAGAACATTTATTGGTTTTGACATAAAAATTTCTTGCTGTGCAGTGGAAATGCTGTAGTCCAAATACTGGAAGAAACATGAAGTCTCAAGGGCTATGTTCAGCAACTCTTTGGTCAAAAGCAGATGTGGCAGGTGCATTATTTAAGAGCTTGTCAGAGATGATCTTCCACAGCACACTACTCCAGGATTCATCTCCTACTGTGCTTCGGAAGGGAACTCTCATGTAAATATATGGCAGAACTGGCTGGCTGAACATCAAGCCCGAACTGCCCAACCCTCTTCAAGAAGACTGCGGTCATGCATCAGAAAAGCTCTCCACTACTGAATGCAACTACCCTCCCACATACCTCATGTAAGAGCAGCTCTTTGGATGAGCTGCTGAAAAATTAAAAGCGACATTTTTCTCAGTAGCCATACTTGATGTTCTGAAGTGGTTTTGTATTGCTGTATTCAGTGTTAATTTGGTACCATGAAGATGTAGTATATTCAATACAGCGTGGCCCAAGCTACTGCTTTGATTTTCCTGACTCCTACACACATACAGAGACATGAGTTTATTTTATTTTATTTTATTTTATTTCACAGCATAAATCCTTGAGTAGAAGCTAATCACCTCAGTAGGGATGATCACAAATAAACACGCCAGTAGAAAACCAGAAGAGGCTCAAAGGATCAAACTGTTTCAAACAAAACAACAAAGAAACAAAAAACCCCAAAATTGAACCCACTCCCCACTGAAAAAAAAACAACACCCAAATCAGTCCAAATGGATCTGTGTGGTCCTCCTTGCTTACTGTGGTGAGCTAGATTTTCATCTGCGTAAACCATGGGAGTGTTGTTGTCTGTAGCACAGAAGTGTCATTTGTGCAAATAAGCTGACCTGTGTTTCTGTAGAGAATAGTCCAGACATATGTAGACCTGCACAGCTACTTTCCTGTTTTGACGACACACTCATCAACATTTCAGGAAGAAGGAATTTCCTGCGTCCTTCAGGTACCAGAGTTAAAACAAAACACAAAATCCAATTTGAACTACTCCAGTACAGACTTAAAAATCCCTCATACAGGAGAACCACAGCTGGTAAAATAAATCTTATTTTCTTTTTATGTAATGGAGTAGCTTAAGAAACAGGAGAGAGAAATCACTTTTGGCTAAAAACAAACAGGAGAAATACCATTTAAAATTGCCTATCTTTGGAAAAAGAAATTTTGATGGGAAGTGTTCTTCTTAAATGTGCCTATACTGGCCAGTCAGAAAAGATCTAAAAATTAAAAAGAAATGTCTTTCCTAATAAATCACCGTACTAAACAAAATTTGAGATGCGAAGAATAGAGAGAAAGTAATGGTTATACCTCAGATTATGGTATGTTGGCCACATGTTTGTGGCACAGTACACATTTGTAAAAAAACATTTTACACAAAATTGTGCTGTGCAGTGGCAAGTGAAACTAATGAATGAAAAAGAAAGGTGTCCCTATGTATACATAACTAAAAACCAGAAAGTAGCTCTGTACCATCTTTCACTTGCACTCAGCTCTGAAGGGAAAAAATTAGCATGACTGCAGTAATCCAGGATTAAAGCATTTAATTCCTAGACTGTTTACAAGCCATTAATACACACATTAATAAGCATATATATGGAGGGCTGCTCTAAAAATATATTACTCTGCTGTCAAAACTAGCTCTGGTACAAATTCAGTTGTATGCAAAGTTTTATTCTTTTTAAAGGAATGCTTTATGTTAGATGTTTTAAGTAATCTCATGCTTGAAGTACTACATAAAAATATAACATCCTCTGCATATATTAAGTAGGTCATTTCTCTTTTGTTAGTAAATGGAGTACTCTCTAGCCTTTTAAATTTTTCAATGCTTTTGAAAAGATAAGGTGTCTCCATTATAACAGGTAAATTATGTTTCTTCAGACAAGAGTAAATAATAACAGAGGGTATTTGTACCATGTTTACTTTTATGGAGCATTATTGTATTAAGTGGCACATAACCTCAATATGAGTAAAATCATACATTATTCTGGGAGACAACTGGAAAACTCTTTACCGTTAACTCTAAGGAAACTGATAGCTCTGGAGGAAACTTCCCTCTAGTCTCCTCCATCAACAAGTATTACCCAATCACTCACACTAAAGGTAAATGACTCTATCAACTTAAGGCTTGTTTTGACATTTCAAAAACCCCCTAAACATTTCTCAGCTTGGGTTCATGTACCAGCAGTCAAGATGGGCTGGCATATCACAAGACAACAGGCTTGCCTGCCCGGGAATTTCCACCATGCACAATATCACTTTTCAGAAATGGGTTATGGGACAATGATTTAATTCCAGATTTCTCTTGGATTTTTTCCATTTCCATTTTTCCTGTTATAGACAGCACAATTCCTTCCCCCCCACTGCCTCCCACTTCCCAATAGTGTATAAATTACTTTGCCCTAATTCACTTTAACCCAAGTCCTAATTTCACAGCAGCTGGGCTAAATTCTTGATCTAAACCCAAATGTAGTTGAGAGAAGCCTATCTATGGGCATCAACAGATTTTATGTCTGGACGGGGAAACCCAGGTGTGATGCTGCAGTGCAACACTACTCCCCAAATCCTGCCGAGCTCTACATACTCCAGCAGGCATGTGAGCAGGAATGGTCCCCAATTTCACTCTCTCCAAGGTATGGGATAACAAAAAGCTTTATGTCAGGTGGACAACTGCCCAAATGGGAGGTGGCAAACTCCCAGGTGACCCAGCCAAACTCTTGTGGTTAATGCTTCCAAGAGTTCAGAATCACTGCAGTCAAGTAACTTCGAAAACTATAAATTCATTGATTTCACTAGCTCAGATGAAACTCTACATTGTCTCTCAGTGTCAAACCCACAAAGTATCTGTAGCGGCATGTTCTGTGACTGAATGGCTGTTGTCCTTACGGACGGCATTCTGCACACATAACTGAGATTATCACACATATTAAGAATGAGGGAGGGGAGGAAAAGAAAGAAAAATGCATCTTAGAAGTTACTTATTTTTAATGTCTAAAAGTCTGAATGCACAAACAATAATCTACCATTATAGAAGTACTGGTGGTCAATACAATGCATTAGAACTATGTACAATGACACAGTTTAGTATCAAAATCTTTCTACAATGTAGAGTATTACGAAACTGTTAATGACATCAAACACTAAGCACTTAAGACACCATTTTTGCTACCACATTTGGAACTTCAATGAACAGTCCATTTTAACTTGCAGCATCAATCCATTTCTAGTATGAAATTAAGTAATTTTCTACTTATACAATAAGATTTATCTACACGGGTCTTTTGATTTTGATCCATAGCAGCAAAGGCACTGTACATCAGCAGATCCACAGACTTAAAGATTTTTTTTAAAGCATTCAAAAAAAAAAAGTCACAGATCATAGTTCAACAGCAACAACAACAACATAAAAAGATAACACGTTGTCTCTGGCACAATGGCTCAGTCTGCGTCCTTTTTAGGGACATCCAATCAAGACTTGGATTGAACTGCTGGCAAACAAAGCAAGTCCTTATCCCAATGAGAATCCATTCCTTTTTGAATGTCGGAATGAGTACTCTTGTAAATCCTACCTTGGAGGTCATTGCTTTTGTAGTTTGTATATTGGTAGGCATCCATTCTTATTTCAGTGCAGTTTCCAAAGAACATATCAAATATTTTTCATAATCTCTTGTAATTGAAAAATTGCCCAAAGACACATATCCCCATTTTCAAGGAAACGTTGCAAAAGTTTCCAGAAGTAACAAAGGTGATTCTCTGAGGCAACTTATTGTACTCTCTACAATATAACAAAGAGAGGTGTTTATATTAAAAAACCTAGCTTGACACCAAAATGCTTTATGTTTATCAACAGAAAAGCATTGAGAACAAATCTGTACACAAGATGCTATATTAACATTGCAAATATATAAATTAGCACATTCTTACTTAAATTTAATTTAGATGTGAACTGAATTTGCCATTCATCACAGGCATGTAGATCACTGGCTACAGTTTGCAATTTCCTAAGTTTCCAAGACTGTCTAAAATAGTTAAGATACAGCATCTTCCCACCAAATAATTATACTGTAATAACATTTAGAGGTCTCATTCAAGAACAGGACTAAAAAATATAACAAAGTTTATTTTTTTTAAATAGAAACTACAAGTCTATTTAGTGTAACTTTAACTATCTCCTGAACATCCTTCTCCAAGATCCCCAATTTATCCACCTGCAAAAACACAAGTATACAATGCATTTTTCAAACTAAAGCCGGGCCAGACAGCTTTATTAAGTCAGTTCATTGTTAGAAAGCCTTCTTTAAACAAAATAAATACATTACAGCTATAATACATAATTAAAGAGTCAAGGTCACTGTTCAGTATGCTTATTCCATCTTCTTCCAAATAGATATCTGACAATTTGGTATCACGAGTTCTTAATGAACATTCACAAACCAATAGCAAGTTAAGAAGGTAAAAATAAATTCCACAACTGTGATGAGCATTTAAGTTTTCAGTTTAGAAAGAAAAAACAAAAGGAATATACAGCAAAGTGCTAGGAGAAGGAGTTCTGTCTGCATTCAGATTTGTCTCTAATAAATAACTTCATAGACTGTAGCTTTCTTGTCCCCAGAGCCAGTGACAATGTATTTATCATCCACAGAGATATCACAGCTAAGCACAGATGAGGATTCTTTGGACTACAAGAAAAGAAAAAGAAAAAAAAAAGAAATTACGACTTTCCGATACTTCAATCCTGAAGGGCTTCAAGATTAATTGGAAGAGTTTATAGAGCAGGAATACACCAAAAGCTCATTTAAGTATCAGTACTGTACTTTTGTTACAAGACCAGGTCTCCAAATTTGTTCCACAAAAAGATCTGTTACAAGATAAAACAGCTGTGGAAAGGGAAATGAATGTTAAGTACCTAAAGATAATCTATCAATCCAATGAATAGAAGTAGTCTTTTCTATACACTTTACAAGGAATGAGCATTTACTGATATTTTACATATTGGATTTGCATAAAAATTAATTAAAAGCATCTTCTTCCCTTTTTTTTTGTTATAAACCACAAATTCACATGAAGTAGTAGTAAAAAGCCCAACCCATCCACAGGTATAAAATAAGGAGACTCCAAGAATAAACTATATCTCCTCTCACTACTTCCCAAGAGAAAAGACAAAAGCTTTGTGCAAAAGAATTCACATTATCAGGGAGGATGCAAACAGGAAAAGATATTCTAGTGGAAGAGGATGCACAACAAGTGTATAGGAGGTGGATGGGAGACAGGATGTACCGGGTTGCAGTAGCTCTATCTCCTCCAGCTTTTCTGTCTGTGCTGAGATTATGTTAATGTATTGTCACATTTGCCTTGCTGTTTCAGCGCAATATATAACATATGTCCACATTCTTTTCTGCCTGCCACTGCAAGAGCTAAACACTTCCCCAACATGCTATGTTTCGGTGAAGATGCCTCTGCTGCACCACAAAGGAAGTTTTCTTATCTACCCCTCATTAAGAAAGCTGTAATGGGGTTTTTAACATCACTTTTAAGGGAGATGTGTTCTTGTTAGCATGATTTGGGCTGTCTGTGGGAGACATGAGTTGGGTACAGTATTACAGCAATATGTAGAAGATGGTGAAAAAGAAGTGTATTAAAACCAATTTTGTATTAAAGGGCTACTTTACTGTAAGAGCTGAATTACTAAATAAAAGCATATCTTTCTCTAATTACAGACAAATTCTTTAAGGAATATAGTAATTAGCTGCATTTCCATGTGAAAATTCCTTGAATTACTGACAGACCCTGAGATGTGCAGCTCTATTGCACTGTAATGTATGTGGAAAATAGCTTTTAGGAGATTATTACCTGGAATATACTGGCTCCATAAGGTGTTCTCCAGGCATTAAGAAGATTATCTTTTCCAGTGCTTACAAACCATTTGCCTACAACAGATTGTTTAAATGTTATTGTTGCATTTTGTTTTCAAGGAATACACCTCAAGAAACAGATTGATCATAACAACAAAGCATTCACACATATTCAAAGAAACAGTAATATTTTCATTTGGTTGCATTATGATGTTCAATCACAAAAAAAGCAGTAAATACAAAAAGCAGTCGTAGTTTTTAAAATAATCTTAATATTAAAATTTAATACCTAATTTTTAACTATACCCTATAGTTAAGTATCTACATTATATTTTCATTTAAAGATAATTTTGAGTGAACTTCTCAGGAAGGAAAACATTGATATATCAAGATTTGCTTACCACAGTGAGCAAATTTGAGTGACAATACACAGCTCTCATGAAGATGTAGCTGATACTTGTCCGGCTTAGTAACATGTAGCACCTCGACATTGCTGTTCTCCATTCCTACTGCCAACCACTCACCAGTTGGACAATAGCCCAGTGAGAAGATCTGTAATTAGCACAGCATATGCTTCAGTCAGTAAAGGAATGAGCTTGAGATCCTTGCTACACTGTTAACACTATGCAAAACCACATTTTTGGTCTACTACAGTTTTAAAAACATGATAATTCAATTACTACAGTACTCAAGATAAATTAGTTCATGCAAACACAGCTGTAAAGCTATGCTATTAAATGCTATTAAAACTGCAATAGTGAAATACTGAATCAAGTAAAAGTTAATGTCCGAGCTTATCTGACAGCATTTAAAAATATTTTCATAAAATATTTCTGAACCTCAGTCTACAGAAAGGGAAACAGATTACACACTTGTTTTATAAAAAGATTCTCCATTACTCCATTAGAAGTACTAATCTGTCACATAGTTATAACCCAGAAAGACATTTAGCTGCCCCATTAAATAAATTAAAAAAAAAAAGTAAAAAAAAAAGAGTATGACACTAAGTGAAAAATTCTTTGGAGTTCTCTTAAGAGTCTGCTTTTTTTTTCAGAAACTCCCTCACCCCCCCCCAAAAAGTGCTAGTTTTAAAAACCCATGATAAACTTTTCTTAACATGCCAATGCTTCTGAGATTGAACCTGTGATGTGAAATCATGTTGCTGTAGCTGTCTCCCTTCTCTGAGATCCCATGATCTGACTGTATTGTCCAAGCCTCCCGTCCATAGTTTGGTGCCATCATTAGAAATGTCAATACAGCTTGCTCCATCTGTGTGGCCCTGAAATTGCCTGAATATATTGAGAGAAGATCAGCATGTTCTTGCACTGGAAAGAGTTGGTTCTGAGCAAGTATACAAAATACTTCCTTTTTCTTTCAGTCCCTAACATGCAGCCATTGAAGACAACAGTAATGTAGATTCCAATAGCAATCCCAAATTAATATAAACTCTGGGACAATCATGTAAGTTTTTGAATTGATGAAGCAATCAGCCCCAACAGCCAAGTGCTAATTTGATTTCAAAAAATACACTTTAAGAGTCAGGTACTCTGGAAATCTTTGCTGCTGACTGTGTGATACCCACTATTCAACTTAAAATACTCATTCTCTCCAGTGGAATGTAACATGATCAGGAAAATGACCTTAGTTTAGGAAGAATCTGCAGGTTACCAAAGTTCTAAAAAAAAAGAGCGGTCTAAAGGGGAATATCAGGAAGTAAAAGCCTGACTTTACATGCAACACTGACACACTGCATGTAAAAACATACACACAGTACAGTGCACAGAGAAGCTCTGTATGATCGGCTCCTAGCTTAATGTACATCAGTGTTGAGCAGCAGCACATGCTCCTAAGAAGCTAAGTTTGCAATGCAGTAATTTACACAGAGCTTTACCCAAGACAATTTTGCTGGACCTCTGATTAAAGAGATTAGAGTGAGAGCAGTGTATTGCACAGAAACAAAGAAAACCATCTATTCAAAGAATCTACAGCAGTGTCAACATCAGCTGGTATTAGGGAATTACAGTTATGGGCTGCTCAACAGGGCTGGAATTGTGAAACTCTCAAAATCTACAAAGAATCATCTAGATTTTTGTCAAGGTATTAGCATGGCTACTGCCAAACAACAAAATATTGGAAGCATCTATGCATAGAGAAAACGGCATATATGTGCAAAGGTGCACATAAGGCTGTGTCTAGTTAATTCTTCACAATCTGACGATCCAGTTCTGTCGACCTACCTTACTAAAGTCTGGTTATGCAGATCCCACACTGCAATGTTCCCATCACTACAGCAAGAGAAGCAGACCTTGGAATCAGGGCTGATAGCTAGGGCATAGCAAGCTGGAGCAGAAGATGTCAGCTCTGCTTTGATGCGAGGAGTTGGAGCTGCCAGGTCCCAAATAGATAACGTGCTGGCTTCCCCACCAACAATCAGGGTGCGGCCATCAGGGAGCAATCTGCAGGAACGGATGTAGTTGTCTCTGTTCTGTGGAGACAGAAGCCATCAAGAGATTACTCATGAGGAAAGAAAACAGCATTAACATGAGAGAAGAAATCCATAAAAGTATTGTATTCCCTCCTGGTTTTAATGAGCCATTTATACTTATGACAATGATAAAAGTGTATTAATGCCAGAAAATAACATGACATTAGGGAAGTACTTCAGCTTGATCTACAAAATTCAGTAGTGAGAGATATTTAATCTTAATTAGCATCAAAATGCAAAGACCTGAACCCAGCCCAAAACAATTCAAGATAGCTGTATTTGACAGCTGGTGTAGAAAGTTATATTTTCATACTCTGTTTATTTCAGCACATTAGCCTCTCAGCATGGGGGATTACCAAATTCCCTGCACACTTCCCCCCTTCCCACTCCAGTGAGACTTGCTGCCACCATCTAGGAGATGTCAGAGGAAAATATTTGGGTAATTTTCTTCATTTGTGTAGCAACTTGTGTAGCAATTCATTGTAAGCCTACATGTGCTGCACAGTTCGTATTTTACTACCTTTGCAACATGTAGCCACATCTTACCAAGAACTCCTAAATTACAAAAGAAAAGCTGCTAGCAACAGTTCATCTTGTTAGCACATTCAAATAATTTGTGAATAACACTCAGAGATATTTTTAATAATATTTTTAATCTTTGTCACATTAAGATTGGGTGATCCGTTCCTGCACATACACAAAACACATGACGCAATCTTCAAATATTCTCAGGGCATACAGCTTTAAGACAGCAATTTTAAGCATGATAGGATATCAAGCTTTAAGACTGCCAAAAAATGTCAAAGTTTATAAACAATATCTGTTGTGCTGTCTTTGATCTTTCCTCCTACCAATAAAATTTTAGGATATTAAAAATGTTTTGAGTCATTGTGGGGAAAAAACCCCACAAGTATGGAAGGGATATACTCCAACCTCAATTTTAAAAGAAACACCAAAATTACAAACGTAATACCAATCTTTGATACCATGACAGCACTCAAATACCCACTATTTTTTGCACTTAAGATGTAGCATTGCAATATTAACACGACCTCCTATCTTCTTTCATTGCCATATCCTGCTGTTCACCTACCAGGCAGTCCAGCTGAGAGACAGGGCTCTTGTTGCCAGGGTGGCTGATGTCCCAGACTTTGACGCACCCCTTCCCACCCGTGTACACGTGTCTTGTGGGGTTGCTGATGGTAACTGCACACACAACTTCCCCGTGGTTCAGAGTGTTGATCTGACGGGCATGGCGAGGGATTCCCGGACCGATGAGGGCATCAGGAGGGAAAGGAACTGGCTGCATCTGACCATCTGCACTTACATGAAATGAGTATGCTCTGAGGGGGAAAAATTATAGGGGGTGATTTAAAGAGTTTTTCTTCAAGCCTGTTTAAGAAAATAGAATCAAAGACATGTTTCCACTGTAGGCCTTTAGATTGTGCCCTTAGCTCAATTTTTTTGCAGTCTTTTTCACAGATATTTCACAGACTAATCTGAGTTGAGAGGGACCTGCAAGGATCCTTGAGTCCAGCACTTAAGTGAACGGCGTGTATGGGAATCAAACACATGACCTTGGTATTATTAGCACCATGTTCTAATGAACTTAGCTTATATCAGGTATTTTAATCATGCAAAGAAGAAATATTTATCTATAGCATGGCCCTCAAAGCATAAACTTAGCTAATCACTCATCTTTTAATGTAAAAGTCAAGCACCAATCAAACAACCTTTAACAACTCATGCAATGATGATTTCTGCCATGACATGACAAGACATGAGGCTATATGACACTACTCTTTATTTTGGGGCATAGGCATTCTTAAACTTGGGGATCAGGATATCACTGCATGCAGAGAAGGGAAGGAAGGTTGGGTAAGGGGCTCCTGAAAGACCGAAGTAGTTGGCTGCAGAGCATGGAAGGTAGCTGCGTGCCAGGGGGGACATTTACTTGCTCACTTTACTGACTCTGATGTGGCAGCTTCAGCTGGACTGCTGCCAATCTGCCCCAAACACACAGTGGCTCCCAAGCCCCTTCAGCAAAACTGCTCAGCACTGTACCTAAGGGTGCAGTGAAACCTCCACCCACCACCAAAGAGCTAAGTCCTCAAGGCACAGTTGCTGACAGCCGACATGACAGACCAGCAAAAATGCACTGGAATGGAATTTTTTGTTGTTTTTTTGTTGTTGGTGGTGATTGTTTGGTTTTGGTTTTTGAGCAGGTTTGGTTGTTGTTGGTTTTGGTTTGGGGTTTTCGTTTTTTTGTTGTTGTTGTTGGCTTTGGGTTATGTGGGGTTTTTTTGTGGGTTTCTTTTTTTGGGGGAGGGGTTTGTTTTTTTGGGGAGGAGAGTCGGGTTGGGGTTTTTTGTGTGTGGTTTTTTTTTTTTTTTTTTTTTTTTTATGGACCCAACACAACTACTACAGATTCCAATTTCTCTTGCCAAAATCAGGCCTCTCACTGAGAAAGAACGTGTTGTGTGACTGCCACTTATGCCACCTGTGAATAACCTATCAACAGTTATATCTTAAAATATTTTCCAGGGAGAACAGTTAGGTTGTGAAATTGTCTTGTTCTGAGATGCTACCTGACACATTGCATCTATTACAAGGGCACAGACTTTGTAAGAGGGTTCACCTACACATACCAAGGTAGGCTTAATGGAAGGCTTTAATTTCCTTAGACCTAAAAAATCATCATAGTACTGATGAAAAATTCATTGTCACAATGGTGGGATGAGAAGAGCTCACAAAAAAATCATTTTATGAGAATACTTTGTAAGCTCACTTCCTTAATTAATGCTTCAAAGTCACTGAAGGAAGGCAATGTTCAGAATTCAACTACTGAATTTGGCATTTAAGATTCATAGTGCATTAACACTGGAACAATAATTGTCAGTGAGACAAAATGCAAAGGCATTTTCATCTTTCTGCCCTATTCACAGTGCTTTACACACTTTTCTCACACTGTACTCTGTTTCTTATTCTGCCAAATCTGAGAGACAGATCATAACACCATTCTCTGTTTTTTGACATTAAATACATTCAGGAAACAGTACGACAGACTTCTGTGGTTGTTAGAAGAAGAAAACTGCCTAAAGGAGTAGAATTAGGGTTTGATCATCACCACAGAAATCTGAAATATCTTCCGCATTATCTCCCTACTTCCTGTTTGTGCAGTAAGATACTGAAAAAAGCGGTTGATGGTCATCTAAAATCAAGTGGAATTTCATAATCCTCTTTTCTGATTTCTGTACACAGTCACACTCTGCAGAGCCATGTTGAGCACTGAGTGTATGATACCTTTATCAGCCAAAGTGTTTTTTAGCATCGTTATAATGAACACAGAGAGCATATTTAAAAATTACAGAAATAAATCTTATATCTTACATTATCCTCACTCTATTCATTACTCCATACCAGCACATGTGATTATTTTGTGGTCATTGAGTGCTCGCCTTTTTTTTCCCCCTAAGAACTAACACCGCATGTTGCTTACAGAAGGACTGTAAATATCTTACAAATAACTGACACTATAAACACCTGGTGAGCACCTTTTCCTTCTTTTCCCTACTTATATACTGTACAATAGTCAACATGTTGATGTATCTCCAAAGTGAAAAGAGAGTTATTCGGGGCCAGATCCCTGATGTACTACATGCTGCCCACTCTATTTCAAGATATTCAACAGTGCAGAGAATTTACACAGCTTTCCCTCTAAAGGAAAAGGAGAAGTAAATGAAAAAGTAAGTGAGAAAGTAAATGAGAAACAATCCTGAATGGAAGCTGTGAGAAGTACCACACTTAAGATGAAGAAAAGTCAATGCCCTCATGCTAAAAGAACCACAGATTTTAAAATTTCAGGCCCTATGGTAGACAAATGATAGCTACATTTAAATGCTTAACAGAGACATCAACACAGCAACAACATTCAAAAACCTTGGAGATGTACCAGAATTGAATTGATTTGATTTCAGTTTACCTCATGTTTTATTCCCCTAAATTCTAGCGTAAGTGAGATGTAAGCAGGGAAGTCCCTTCATCCCTGCAATTGCCATTGCTCAGACCACAGCAAGCAAAGCCTAGCAGATCCAGTCACACTTCTTTTCAGGTCATTGACTCCACAGGGGATGAACTTAAATCCAGCAAACATTTGAACACTATGTCAAGACATTTCTAAGAGCCCATGGTATGCATCGGATGAAGATCTGTACCCACAGAATTTTTAATCCAAGTAGCTCATCATCAATTTCCATACCTCCCTTGCACAGCCACCTAACAGGGTGGAAAAATTCGCAGAAAGTCAACTGAAGGTGGTTACCATGCTTGAGAGATCTGGACCTGGTTTGATTTGTGTGACACATGTACAAGAAGAGTTATAGGCACTAGGTTTGATCGCTTATGTCACCATATTAACCATTAATCCTGTGTGTGTGCAAGCCCACTGGCAGGTAAGTATCCATTTACTCACACATGCAAGTGTGTAACTAACCCCAACCACTCCTCGACAAACACGTTCCTACACAAAAAAGCTAGAGATGGAGTGACACAAACATCCCTTGACCTTCACACTCTGTAGGATGAACTGGTCACAGTGTTCCACAAGTGTCAGAAGGAAGTGGAATTAGATGACCCATACATAAAATCTGGATCAATGTGGTTTGTGGAGCTGCTTTAGTTCTTCTCTCTAGCTCAAGAGGAATATGAGCAGAGAGTTCTTTGTCTCCGTAATTCTTCTTTCGAGGTTCACAACATGATAAGCCTGGTAGAGCAGGTCACCTTTTACAGTCCATTCCATAAAGGATGAATCTGAATATTATGATACAATAATTTTTCAATCAAACAAAACAGGTCAGCATTCCTTTCTCTGCACACTGCTTATAGCAGCTGCTAGGTTTGCTAGTAATTGCAAGGCTTTTGTGAACAAAACAATAATTTTTTTTAAACTGAGAAGCAGAGTACAGTAGAGATGGATAGCTGAGATCCCATTCCAGTTTGCATTTCCACAGACAATCAACCAGTCAGATTTGAAGTTCACCTTTTTCCATTTAATTGTCTCCTTTACTCTATGTCATCCAGTCCCTGTTGACTGCTACTAGTCTTCAAAACAAATTTATAAATGTAACTTTAAGATTAAACAGTAATTCTCCTGCTCTCGTTGAATAGCTGTATTTATTTCTATTCACACAGCAGTTTTCAGCAGCTAAGGGGAATTCCAACCAGCAAGGGAACACAACTTCCAACAGATGATTGACTTTTAAAGCTGAATGTTTGATACTCACGGTTTTCCTCCTGGGATGCCTGTTAGATTGGGAGGGATGCCTGGGACTCGCATGTGATGATGTGGATCAAAACCAACCTATAGTTTTCCCCATGCAAAACAAAAAGGTGTATTAAAGTAAGAGCTTGGCAAGGGAAGACTGTTTAATTCATGTTCTCCATAGCATGCTCCCCAAACCACAAAGAGAGTGAACTAGAGTTAAACCCACAGGTTTTATATTTAATATACACTGCTCTCAAAACTAAATGCACCAATGGCAAACACTTACCACTGGAGATCGCCCGTAAGCTGCTGCTGCTGCTGCTGCTGCAGCTGCTGCACTCATTTGAGGGGAAATGTTGTGCAGACCGGCATAGGCAGCTCCAGGGCTGGTCAGCTCCCCGTTCATACCAGCATGTGGCACGATACCAAATGGAGTAGGATAAGGGCACGGTACTGCCATAGGTGTTCTTAAACCTGAAGCTACAGAGGGAGTAAAAAAAGAAAGAAGTCACAGAGGCATTCTAGACCCATCAGATGAAACATGAGTTTGGTAAACAGCAAAAAGACCCCAACACATAATAACAAAAAACCCAAACAAACAAACAAACAAATAAAACAAAAACGGCAACAATGATGAAACACACACACTGTATTACAATGTTGAAGAAACAGCTCAGCACCCAATTTAAGTAACTGTAAGGTACTGATTTCACACTGCAGATTTAAAGGGAGCCTGGTAAGGGACAAATGGCCACTGTTTCACGCCACTGAAATATGTGTACACTAACCTATTGGGTCCACACCTGGGGGTTTGCCAGGCACTGATCTCAGTCCAGGAGTGGAGTTGCTGCCTGGAGTCGGGGCATCAGTCCGTGGAGTTGGGGTATTTGATTTAGACACAGGAGTGGTAGATTTCTCATTCTGGTCACCGAAAAAGGAAAGAAGATAGTTTGTGAGTTATTTAAGTCTTATAGGTAGTGGTTGGAAAGAGACGACGACAACCAGAATGAGTATGATTAGTGATATTTAGCTTTTGGGCTTGGGTTTTGACAGTGCTTGGCAATGAAGAGAAGCTGCAGAAACACCAAAAAAGATGGAATGGTTTTGGTAATTAACTACAGACTTCACAGCTTTCTTCATCAGTAGTGTCCATATGATTCAGACTGAGGTAAATGAAAATCATTGCCATCTGACAATTGGCAGCATATGTGAACTCTGTCAGTAGTCTCACTTTGCTCATGGACCTGTTCCCATTATGATTATGATTTTCTGTGAGAGGCCACTGCTGAATGGACAAGAAGGGTGGAAAAAAATCCCCAAAGTAACCGACAACTCATGCCCAGGCATGGTGCTAGAAACGCAGGATGGAGACAGTGATGAGTGTAAAGTCAGGGACTGTGCAATGCCATTCTTGTGACAAGCTTGTTCATCAGATGAATCACTGACTCCCAGACCCGAACCTGTCATTCCACCACCTTTCCTGAGCACAACATTCACTTTAAGCTTTCTTTTTATTTATTTTGCTTCTTTAAATAATCATGTACCCTGCCCTGTGAAGAACTGAGAGGGGAACTACTGTGCAGCTTAGGCAGGTGATTAACTGTGGTCACAAATATGAAAGGAAAGAAGACCCCTTGCAGGCATTTTGCATTATGATTTGTGATGCAAGTCAAGGAAGGCTCTTGTAAATGACAGATTACTTTTTAGATAGAAAATAAGAATTATTGTTGTTGTATATAGCCTGGTAATTCAAGCAAAGCTAACAACCAAATCACATCCAAGCAGGGAACTGGATTTGCTATAAACCACAGCACAGGAAAACAGCTCAAGAAACCCCTGTGTACTTTTATTTATTCTCAGATTGACAGCTTTTCATATGGAGGAGGAGAAGAATATCTCTCAGAACAGCAAATCTATCATCTACCCACACCACCAATGAAAACCTCTTCCTATTGCAAAAAAAAAGACTGTGGACTTTCTCAGTATTATGTTATTAAACTTCCTTGAAGACATAAATTAAACTAATTTTAAATTGATGCTTCATATTGCACTATATTTATAGTGGAAATACAAATTGTGTCCAGAAAAAAATCCAGTAAGCATGCATTTCAGCATACAATCATGGGTCAGGAGCATTTTGAAGCACTTACAAGGCTAAGTTCTTTGGATTTGGAGGAAGGAGTACTGCTAGAAGATGCAATAGATGACGGACTAATTGGTGCATCTTTTTTCAGCAGGCGAGTCTTGTCCAAGCCATTTTCCCGTGGAGACTGGGCTGGGCTCCCCCGGGGAGAAGAAGGATCCTAAACATCAGCAACATGGGTTAGCATAAAAATTTCATACTAGTCACTAGTGCTTGACTTGAGCAGTCCTTGCTTCGGAATGAAGATCCGTCATAGGAATTGACGTCTTTCTTCTGTTCTCGACTGATTTAGCTGATACAATTGTAAAATCGAGATGGATAATGAAGGACAACCTTTTTTTTAAAGAAAGCCCTAAAATTTGATGCCATTGAATTATGTAAAAAAATTTATGGATATTGAAATAGGCAAGTAAATCTTTTTTTTTAGGTGACAGACTGAAAAGGTTTGATGCACTTAGCAGACCTGATAAAGCTGACAAACGAACTCATGGTCAGAGTGAAACAAACGACTGTTAGAAGATACTGTTAGATGCTGCATCCCATCTTGTGCTGTTCTGGCTTCAAATATCTCAAGAGAACTTTCCGTTCATATGAGAAACAAAAAGCCCTTTGTAGAAATAAATGTTAGATCTGATTTGTTTTCTAAAGAGAGACAATGTGACTGGATTCCCTCATGTATTTCAAGTTCCTTTATGAAGGCAAACACTGTAATCTTAGTCATAAAACCAATACGCACAGAAACCACTGAAGACACTCCCACCACCACTACTATAAGGTAGAAAAAACACCATTGTGTATACCTCATTGGAAACATCAACTACCAAGTTGTCATCACTCTTTTCACCATCGCTGTCCTGCAATGACAAATCACAATGTTCTAAAACCCATTTATTTAATATCCCAACATCTCTTAAGCATTAAGAAAAAATAGCAAGGCTGCTCGCAAATATGCAATGTACCATTCCCAAGCTTTAAGTGGTAATACAATTAGAATATTTAGATCACCTACAGGGCTTCTGCTTTGCAGGTTGCCATAGCTATAGTATTCTTTCCAGTTTTTACACTGGTACACAAGGACACACGATGAAAATCTTCATCCAAAGTTGCGCTGCACTATGAAGTGGAGCCAAATTAGAGCCCAGATCTAACAAGTCCCAGCCTAACTAAAGCTCAGCACTACTGTCACATGGCTTCCATGTGCTCTGTATTTATATTGTTAAAAACACTATCAATCATACACACCGAAAACCTTTAATCGAATACAGACTTTAGAGGTAACCAGCAAGAACTTGTTGAAAATTTGACCCTCAATTTTAAAATTAGTTATGCAGAAGGAATCAGGGTGAAATTTCAGAGGAACACTTAAGTACAACAATGCACAATGCAGACAATTTACTCACATAACGAGCCGCTATTTCCTTTTCTTCTGTTTTCTGTTTTTTACTATCTGAAGAATAATCTGTAGAATTTCTGTGCTTTTCTCCTGTTCTGAAACTGGCTGAGGGAGATACAGAAGAGCTCTGCAGTCCAAAAACAGAAGGAAACATTATCAAGCACTTATTCAAAACAGTGGTTCATTTGTCACGACCCCTCAATACATCTTAAGCTGATAATATAATTTGGAGCTGTTCTTATAGATAGCACTTTGGGTTTTAATTGGTGATAGCTACCCATCAAGTGTCTTATATTAAAAATTGCACATTGTATTGCAAGAGACAGAAAAAGGAGATCAACTGATGACAACAGTGGCTATCTGCAGTGTCAATTGGATGAATGTAGAGCTAAATTGGGTCATTTTATGAATACTGTGCATTGATCTTGTTTAGCTTTGTTTCCTCTACAAATAAACAGGGTTAAATTAGTAGTCCAAGAAGGGGTGTGTACATATGTGTGTGTTTGCCTGTGTACATCAAAAAGGACGAAGAGGCTCAACGCAAGTCACACTTCAGCAAACATCTGAATGAAGATTTTTACCAAAGAAAGAAGTAAGCTTCTGAACAGTCTTGAAGCAGCCAAGAATAGGGGAAAACACTTAAACTCATTTTATTTTGATGCTGTTTACAATTACAGGCTGTGTCTGCAGCAGATGGAAACAAAATGTAGTGGCTCAGCAATTCTCTTACCATTCTACACTCTCACCTAGTAATGATTGCTAAAGAGCACATGTAGGGACAGGAGAGAAAGAAAGATAACAAGTACTTTATGCACTGTCATCCAAAAATTCTACTGTACTCCTTTAAACAAGGCAGGCAACATTTATCAACTCCTACCATATTCCCAAAAGTTGGTGGAGCCTGTATCTTGGTATACAAAAAAGAAAACAATGAAAGATGCAAAGTTCCCTCTGGGACTGATTTTAGCAGCAGCAGGAGCTTTTGGCTGTAGTTCAAGAGAGCATTTAAGCATGCACTAAACTTTATCTCACACTGAAGTCAGTGGTTGAACGTACATAAGTAAGGATGTGTTCAAGCTTTTTTCAGAATTTGAAATGACAGCAATGAAGATGAAAATAATTGTCAGTTGAAACCCTGCTGACTGTTTCCATCACTATCCTCCTTATATAATGGGGTGGGGAGGAACAACAGCTAAAGAAGTCCTTACTGATGGATTTTAGATCCTCCCATTCATTCAGAAACACTGGTTTGGGAGTTCTCCCTCCATACGCTACAGACAGCTGTTGTTCCACATAAAACTGTACTACACAGCTGTTTTGTTTTGGGGATCTCAGTGCACATCTTCCTTGGTTTATTTTACAATTATGAACACGAACATAAACCAAGAAATCAGCACTTACACTGAGTAACTTCTGCTTCATCACTATGACAAAATTTCTTCTTTTCCTTATTACATCACAAGCTTCTGGTAAGGATTTAGAACACTTAACCACAGAAATTAAGCTGTCCTTATTGCCCAAGTCATGTGAGAGAATATTTCTCCCTACTGCGACACTCAATTTTTCTAAAATTTCCAGTTCTTGTAAAGAGCATCTCAGATTAATGAGTGGTGGAATTTGCAAAAATCTTCCACATTTTTGACTGTCAATCGTGAATTACTCTCTAAGAACACTGAGTGGAAATAAAAATTTTAGAACAAAGCTAGTGCTGAACACTGCTTGTGCCTTTCCCATTTTCATATCTTCCTGCCTCCCTCTCTCTCTCTCCCTGATAGTATAAAATAAGTTGAAAAGGAGCAAATACATCTTAAAATACTGTTAATTTTGAAGCAGATTATTAATCAATTATTATAGTAAATGACAAAAACTAACAAAATTATTTTTTGCTCTGAAGTGACAACACATGTTCAGACATTTAGAGACAACAGCGGCAGTAGGTACAGAAGCCCTTAAAATAAAGTCCAAGAAGAAACATTAAATGAACTGATGACTTTAAAAACATATCTGTTTACTGCAACGATATAGCATAGCCTTTTGCAAAAGACTTTAATAGCATGCTCCTATTACATTTATATTCATTTACAATTTGGGAGACAGTAGCTTGTAATGTGAATTCAATTCATTATTTTTCAACTTCACCCTATGGAAAGCAATTTGTTTTAAAAGGAAGAAAAATGATCACCAATAAACTACAAATCAGAGTGTTGTCTAAAGAATTAAACTACTGCACTTACTTAAACAGAAATACTTATTTTCATAAATTTGAAACCATATAATTTCATTTTTCACAATCTGGTTAGCTATGTGCTATAGATACCATTTCAATCTTTGATTTCACTGCTTAATAAAGTAATAAATTAAAGTTCCCTACTAGAAAGATAAAGTAGCTAATTAACATTAGCATATAAAGGATGAGCACCACATTTGGCATTGGGGTAATGCATGTTGCTTAAGGCTTCTATTGCTTTAAAGATGGATCAGACCCGATACCAATATGAAAAAATCCTCCTGCAGCATGTCACCTGACATTAGCAGACAAATGGAGACAACTCACCTATTGACAACAGGCAGAATCTCATTTCCCAACCTGAAATTAGGCCAGTGTACTAGGACTAACATTATTTTGCCTCAAGAGTCAATTAGTACAGAAAAAATCGAAATATTCCCAGTTTTAACTGTCACCCCCCCTTTCCTTGCATGAAGCCAGCCTATCAATACCTCTGCAGCACTACCTTCTTTTTCTTTCAACATGAAATGCACCTGCTACATAAAGATCAATGACTTTATGAGATCTCTGGTAATGGTGTTGGCAGATCTAAATTTACCTCTTATGCTAAGTAATAAATACATGTCATACACATAGCCAATGAGCTGTGGTGTAGATCTTCCTATGGACGTAATGCCTACTTATTTTCACTGTGCAAGGGACAACGCTATTACCTGTACTGAGTTCCCTCCATTGTTCGTAACAGCTCTTCAGTCTATAAACAGTTGTAAGGATCTATCTTCATTGATAAATACCAGGATGTAACAATGTCCTCATGGTTTCCACTGACATCAGATTCCTGTATATAATCCTGTACACACCTACACCTTGGTTCCTGAGTGTGCAGGCCCACATGTTCCAAGAGAGGCCCTTACATTTGCAGACTGTGAAAGAAAACCTCCATCAAAGCAAATTGTTTAGCTGACAGATTCTGCCCTGTTCCTTGATTAAAACATCAGTGCCCTCCTAACAGCTGTCTTTAAGAGGCAGGAATAGGATGGCTACTTAGAGAAATTAAGTGATTCAGCACTATAACTTGGAGACTGTAACTTAATGGGCCAGAGCCTTTGTTTTAGTAACTATTAAAATTTATAGAGAAATAAAGTCTTTTCACACTGCTGTTTTCTTTAATAAAATGTGTTAATCTACTGAAAGAGTAGCATTTTTCTACTAAATAATGCTGAGTTTGCTCGCATATAATAATTAGATCAGACATCGGAAAAATACTCTTTGGTGAAAGTAGGTTACATTTAGTTGTGTTTGAGCAAAATATACAGGTTTTTCTTATTCTGCTTAGGTAGAACATTTTTATTCATGTTAAATACAACACAAAATGCTGACAAAAAACAACTGAACATACATATTTATGGATAGGTTGAGCACATTGCTGTGTTCAAATAATTTGCTTAAGAAGTGGAACAGTGTGTTTCTAGTGCTGGACCCACAGTATTTTTTGCACTAGGCTGTAAAGCATGGCATGCTATGCTTCGGTCTTTGTTTTGGGCAGTGCTGAGCGCAGTGCTAACTGAAACAATCTACCACAAGGATCACTCTTTTTTCTCTCCAACACTGGCAGGACACTGCTCCTGGTGGAGTACCAGTACCATACAGGTGCAAATTAAATAAGTATCAAAAAAGCCATGCAAGCCTCTTACGCAGCAGTAAAATTCTCTCCAGCATGCTGTCTATTTGGGATAATTAATAGTTCAAATTGCTAAGGGAAAAAACACTCCCTGTTTTAGCCCCAGGTTCCACTGGAAGTTAACTGCATCGACATAGATGGCTCACACTGTAACGTGGCAGAAATCAGTGTTGTCAGACTGCACAGCCATACAAGTGCTCTCAAATCCTGCAAGCCCCAACTCCCTGTATGCTGATTCCTCTAGATGAAGACCTGGTCTGAGCAGACTAAGTAATAATTAAATTAAATCAGTGTTAAAAGTAATGACTAGAGATAACAGGATGAAAAGCCTTCCCACATGTTTAAGATGGTAACTCTTTAAAGCATTCACGAATATGACCATTCCCATGTGTACTCTTACTACTATGCCAAAATGATGTATTTGGAGTGGAATAATTAAAACAATAATTCCCAACAAAGTGGGAATTACAAGATAATTGACCATACTGAAGTATTAAGCAAACTGCAGTAAAAGCCAAGGATGCTCAATGCTAAGGTCAATTATGGTATAATTATGTGAATGACATTACTGCTGTTACAAAGTCTGTTGAAAGTATAAAAGAACTATAAAAATTGGTACAATATGCATCACGGGGAAACGACCAGGCAGTAACGCTGTTTTGTTGGTTGATGCCAGTGTTTTAGATGGAAGTACCAGTACAGGAGCTTGGACTCAGCCACTGCACTTATGTTTGGGCTTGGAGCACTAAGCTGTCTAAGACAACGTCTATGCTTACATCGGAAGCACAAAGGAAAAAAAAGAAAAAGAAATAGAGAAATTCGTGATGAGACTTCTGACACCCGAAGGTTAAGATGAAGACTTCTCTAGTCAGCTACGAATGGTATGAGGTGGGAGACATCTCATCATACAGGTGAAAGGACATGGAATAAGAAAAAGGGGCAGTACAGCACAGTCCACAGAGACCATGCACTGCTCAGGGAGAAAACTGCAACCAAGAGCTACCAAAGGCCTTCTACATGGCTCCAAGACAACACTCATCTGCCTCAAAGAATGAATTCATTTACATATACCTGTATGAATGGGCATATTACTTTGGTTAAAATGAGGGAGGTGGTGTGAAATGCTGTGGACTGATCTACAGACACTATGGAATGCTTGCATAGTGACTGTGGCTCCTCAGGTCCCCCACAATTACTGCTACTACACTTTTTGTTGTTA